ATTGTGTCTTATAATTCTGTGCTACCATCTACTAATCTCACTTTGAAATTGTGGTTTTTAAAAAGGCAGATTAGCAAAATATATTCTGAAGGCAAACTAAGTTATTTAAAGTATTAAACATTATATTTTAAAACCATCCTACTGGTTTTACATTTATGCTATATAAATTTGTAAGAATGTTTGCTGATTTGGTTAAACAGAACATAATAGCTACAATAATTTACAAATACACATTAAAAATTATCACACAGGACTATCCTTTCTGTGGTAGTCTCAAGATCTCTACCAACTGATACAGAGTGACCTCTATCACAGAGCTATTTTGATCAGTTGGAGATGGCAAGCAGTAATGCTCCAGAAGACTCCATGACTAAGATAGTTATTTCACCAGCTCTTCTGCCAGCCCTAGTTCCTCACAAGGAACATACATGTTCACCAACCTATCAACCTTTCCCAGAGTAACAAACTACAAAAGGTTTTTCTACTTAAGTGTCCTGACTGTATCACTTCCAAAAGTGTACTACATAATCCACTGCTATCTCCTGAAGGAAGAACAGTTGGTCAAATAAATCTGTAAAAAAAACTGGGTTAAGCAGTTATATGAAGATATAATGAAGATGTCTCACAGTTTGCAGTGTTAATGTATATCTTGAATATCATTGGGTAATATTTGACCATGAAAAATCATTTTTCAGAAGCACCGTGAAGGTACCATTATTTCTATAATTCAAAAACTTTTTTCCTTTACCCAATAAACCAATCATACCTTATAATCAGTCTTTGCCTAAAGAAAGGTTTAACATCCAACAAACAGATTTACTGAGTCTTAAAAACTGGAAGAAACAAATAATATCTGCGGGAGAAAAAAAAAAACTACCCAGTCTGAAGCATTTATATCACTAAGAGGCCTATTCCATTTACTATATGTTTTTCCCACTGAGGTCTAAATGAATAAGAAATCTATCAACTTTTCTCCATCAAAACTACTTCTGCCCTTTGGATTAATGCAAGAACAAATGCAACCAATAAGCCCTGATGTATAAAAAGCCCGTCAAATACAAGACCACAATTCTTCATACACCATTTTATACTGGTAGATTAAATGATATTTTAATTTCACAAAGTGGTTCTCACATTTACTCTTTTATAAGAATGAATATTATTACTTTGTGATAAGAATAGCATCATAATTATAGCTAAATTATTTCCTCAACCTCATAAACTTGGAAATAACAGCATGTTAAATTTGAGTCTCCCAAACCTAAAAATAACTACCTTAACCTGATCAGTGGTCAGGATTTTTCAATATTCAGTCTCAAAATGTTGTTCTCTATATTTTCTGCCTTAAGGTATTAATTTCAGTTGTACACCCTAAATTTTGTCATGCCCATGTACTAAGCACTATGCCAAGTCTCCACACATATTCATTTATTCTTCAAATACTATTGTGCATATTTAGTAATTTAAAAACTCACAAACTTCCCATAATCACAACTTAGTAAGATGAGACTCAAATCTAAGACTTTTAGCTCTGTATGAAGTACTCTCCTCATCCCAAATACCATTATTTCAAATCCAGAGAAATTATCTACCAATTCTAAGCCTTCTTATATAAACTCTTTATGAAGAAATGCATTTATTTGGGGCTGGGGTTGTGGCTCAGCCTAGCATATGTGAGGCCCTGGGTTCCATCCTCACACCACATATAAATAAAGGTATTATGTGCAACTACAACTAAAAAATAAATTTTTTTAAAAAAGAAATCTGTTTATTTAATCATATCTGCCGCAGTCCGGCTGGGCAAAAATAACCAGGAGGTGACAAACAACTTGAAGGTTGAAGCGGGAACTGCTTTATTGCAGGGAAACTCAGTGGGAACTGAGCGAGAACTCAAGGTAGCAGGCACCCAAGGCAGCAGGAGCCGCTTTATTGCGGGACAGCAGAGATATATATACCTAACTGAACTGATTACACATAGCTTGACTCAATTATCATCATCTAGATACAGCAGTCAGCCAATAAGGAATCCTCACCATCCTAATGGCACGCTGGCATTGCTTCACAAACCACTCCTCCTGGCAAATTGCCAGGCGCCATCTTGACTTGATTTGCATCCCCAACATATATCTAAGATACACCCCACCCTGTATGACTTCAAGAATCCCAAGATTTAGCTCACCTGATCCGATATTCCTGTGCATTATTTTCAAGGTCAATTTCTACATGACTTGAATATGCCCTCGACTCTGTAACTTCTTAGTTCTTTGCCTTTGAACACATAACTTGACCAATGATTTCAAGGTGGCTTACCCGTACTTGCAAAACAGGGATGATGAGGGGTAAATAAAAGGTATCCATATAAAGTATTAGAATAACTGTCAAGCACTTACAGGCCTTTCATTACTTTGTTTGGAAATGTTTTTCGTTTATTTGAAAAGAAGCAAATACATGGTGAATGGTATATGAATCCCTGGGTTCACCTATTAATCATTCCTAAAGATTAATCAATAGCAGGAAAGAAGGAAAAAATAAAATTCATTTCCTCAGGGGTCTTAAAATTTCCAAGTGACCCAATTATGTTAAAATAGTAAAACACAGGAACTAATACAGGTAACTCTTTAAAGTCACATATACTTCCTTTCTTCAAATCCTAACTCAGAGAAATTATTTCACCTCCTTGGAATAAAGTTACTCAATAACTATCCTAAAGCACAATTTTGACAAGTACATGTGAATGCATATGTAAAATACCTGGCACTTACTAGATGCAAAACAAATAATGATTGATTGGTTTCTTTTCTTTCCAGGGCTTAGGCTATAAATAGAGATCAGAACCAGAGAAGTAGAAGTAAGGCTAAAAAGGCAATATAGTGACAATAGAATACACAGAGGTTCTGTGAAGATAAGGAAAATCATTATGAAATGAGTTTTAAAATACTAAATCAGTTTGTAACTATGTGTAAAGCACACTTGAGAGAATTCTCTGAACTGATCTGTTACTAGCTCAATGGCATTGCCAGAAATCTTGGTGTTTCCTGACTGAGAGCTCCCTTACAACTTAGGAAACCCCATTAATCAGCCACTGATAGGGCCAGATTTTTTTTTTTTAATCATGTCAATATACTACATCATGATCTTTGAGAAGTGTTGAAGCTATGACACACTAATACTATCTATATCACCCAGCACTTGAATCCTCCTACAAATAATACCTAAAAAACATGAGCTCTTCAAGTGAGATAGACTGAACAGGGAAAAGGGGAAGAATGAATTCCATGGAACTCACTATGAACTCAAGTTGGTCCACTGGCTATGGAGATTACACAGCTACTAAATGGACACACCCACATGGAGTTATACACATGCTTCTACTTCACTTAAAAGATGTGAAGAGAATAGGTACAAGACCTGAAATAAATAATTTCAATTATCAAGAAAACTTTTGCAGGACAAACAAACAGTTGCTATTCCTTTTTAACCTGGGCTTTTATTTCCTTTTAAGGTTAAGATTCCTATCTAACAAGTTCTGATTCGTTATCTGTAACTGAAAAGATTTTATACATATGTATACCATATTTAAAACACCAAATAGAGCAAAGTTTTACAATCTAAAAAATATTACCAACACAATAACCCTACGGTGCAGTTTAAATGTTGATTACTAGTATCCTTGTTAAAGTTCAACTAATACTAAATCAAAAGTAGTTAGAGATTATAGTTAAACAGAGCTAAGAGCTTTGATTCAATATTAGGTTAAACTGATTCAATATTAACTCAACCAACAAGAATGCTGGTAGACATCATGTAAAATCTTCAAATAAGCAAGAAAAGGTCCTAGCCCTATCAAAATGTAGATTTGAAACCACAATCTTCTATCAGGACACAAAAGGGAAAAAGGTAATCTATAACAAAAATTCAATGCTTTTAAAAAATGGGGATAAATAGCTAGGTGCACTGGTACTTTCCTGTACTCTGTTAATCCCAACTGCTCAAGAGGCAGAGGCAGGAGAATCTCAAGTTCAAAGTCAGCCTCGGCAACTCAGCAAAGCCCTAAGAAGTTTAGCAAAACTGTCTCAAAAAATATAAAGGGCTGGGGACACAGCTCACTGGTTAAGCATCCCTGGATTCAATCCCCAGGAGAGAGAGAGAGAGAGACAGACACAGATACACAGACCATGTCTTAAAATAAAAAGGACTAGAAATGTATTCAGAGGTATAGTGCTTGCCCGCGAAGTACGCTCAAGGCTTTGGGTATTATCTCCAATACTGCAAAATAAGGGGAAAATGTGCATAAGTGCTTTCTTATTCTATTTTTTTCTGACTTCTTAAAACAGAACCTATCTCCTACCTGAGCCCACCCCTCCTACGCGCCCCCCCCCCCAAAAAAAAGCTAACTACTAGAAGAAAAAAAAATATTTTAGCACTTCAGGAAACATAACTGAAGAGGGTCATCGCTAGATCTAATCAGTTCTAATAAGAAGCTTCCTGAAACCTTTCAGGAAAAGGAGATGGGAAAGTACCCAAAGATCTCAAGCTATCTCATAAAGGAACATACATAACACTGTTTTCCCCCATCTCATTTCTTTGCTTAAATGCGTTATTCTCAAACTTTAGTTCTTTATAGTCCACTCCAACTTTCAAAAAGGGCAATATTCTTTCCCACTAACTTAGGACCCAGAGCAGTGTACGAGGCATTAGCAGTATTCATCTTTAGTCCAAGTTCCTTAAAAGCCATAAAAATTAAGGGCTGGGGGTATACCTCAGTGGTAGAATACCACCCACCCACCTCCATTTTCAATCCCTAGTACTACCAAAAAAAAAAAAGAAAAAAGCAAGATTCTTATATATCTGTCTCCATAAAAGTAAATGTAATATCAATTATCAAGTATTACTATATAAATAAAGTAATAAATCTTATGTTGCCTCAGACTGAAAAAATAACTTGAAAACATAATCACTTTTGACAAACCCCCTAAAGAAAAGATCTTCCATTAACTTACTTGCTAATTTGGCCTGTAATCCAGAAGGTCCAGGTTTTGATGTCTCTGACTTAGAAGACCCTGGAAGAGACAGTTTTGTTTTAGGAAGGCTAACTTTAGGGCTGAAACGAGCAGCCCAATCAAATTTTGAAGAGCCACCAGTTTTACTCTGTTCCTTTTCTCTGCTACTTCTTCTGGGACTGGGACTGGATGCTGAACGGGAACGCCTAGCCTTGTTCTGGTCTTTTCCTTGTTTCACCCTGGCACCTGGTGGTACAGTGGAAGAGGCCGAGGCTACAGCAGAGGACGAGGAGGAAGTAGAGGCAGCAGAGGAAGAATCAGTGATGGTGCTACACCCAGCTTTGGCTGAGGTGGCTGATTTTGAAGCCAGCTTGGTAGGTTTTGCAGATCTCTCTTCCGCACCAGTTGATTCGGACCCAGAACCACTCTTTCCACAAGAACTCTCTGTCCTTTTTCTTTTTTGACTCCGTGAACTGCCAGCGGCCACACTCTTTCTGGTGTGAGCCTTGCTTGTTGATGGCAATTGTGCAGATTTCAGTTGTTGCTCCTGGTCTAAATGTCTCTTCTTTGACTTACTATGTGATTTACTCGTTTCTGAGGGAGACTCAGTATGCTCAAGTGCTTTGGGTTTTTTCGCAGAGCTAGGAGAACTGGTCCTGTTGTAATCTGGACTAGCACTGCGTTTCACTCCTCGAGAATTGTCTTTCTTAGGCACCTGCCCCGTTTTTTGCCTTTCTGAAGTATTGGCTCTGTCTGGATCCTCTGGTTGTGGGACTATGACAGCAGATGATGAACTGCAGCTTCTAAGAAGTTAGATAAGAAAAGAGTTAGTAACAGCCTGTAAACCTATCATATAACACTTATTTCTTAACTTCTTAAACCTTTGGAAATGCTTGGGGTGGGGGTTAGGGGAGTTCCTTATAAGTCTAGTATTAAAAAAAAAAACATAGGTTTTCAAATAGTTCAAAATTGGAAGGCAGGGAGAAAAAAATGTGTGATTTTGGATGGCAAAAATATTTGACTAGAAGATAGGGTACTCTTCAGCACAAAGATTAATGACACTAAACACTAATAATCACTGTAAAACAAGAGTTAAGATTACAAGAAAAAAAATGTTTAGTGGTTCAGAGTCAATAGAAACTAGAATCTTGATGTTCCTTTCACAAACACAACTCTCAAAGCTCAAAGGATGTAACATAGGCACTTCCAATACAAGTGTTACAAACTTTTACTTTGTAGTGATATCAAATCTTCACATTAACATTCCTTTCCAAAGACTCCTAACAAATCAGATCTTAAGGATCACTGACCTAAACCACAATTCCAACAAATAGTAAAGAAAATGGTAAAAAGGCATTTTAGATGCCTATAATTCTTTGTTAAGCAATCTCGTAGATCTCTAAACAAGGAAAAACTTCACTGTCTGGGGCAAAGTGCACTGGTACTGCTACAAAGGTGGTAAACTATTAATCCTAAAAGTTATACTCAAGAATAATAAAAACCTGTTTTAACAGTTTGGAATAACCTGGTAAGCTTTAATATATGCAGTAATTCAAATGCAAAAAAGATCTGCCTTGAAAACATAAGCAATGTGAAGATTTACCTTTTAGAAAGGTGTCCCCTTGACAGTTCAGAAGTAGTATTAGACTGCACTTTGGGTGCCTTAGAATTAGATTTTCTACTCTCAGGAGGGCTATATCTCTTATGTTTTGCCTGCCCTAAATGTGACCTGTCAGCAGAAAATCAAAACAGAAATCTATCAGGACACTGAGATGAAAATACAAAATTGAAAATGAAATATTTTACATTAAAAAAGCCTCCCAATTCTTCATTATTGACCTACCCTTCTTTTAAATATTAAATTATTAAATATTCTATTTCAAATAATATAGCCAAAGAAATTTCCCTGTTAAAACTAATGCTATAGCATACCTGCAAATTAAGATTTCTTATTACTACCAGTGGTCATAATTCTGTAACATTATTAAGGCAACTTAATAATGAATTTTTCAGTAATTTTACTATAGATATCAAAGTATGCTAAATTTTTACAAAAAGCAAAACCAGACTTAGAATCCACTTTTTGTAAACAGCATGTGATATTGCATAGTACTGTGACTATAGATAACAATGGGCTGTATATTCCCAACAAGCTAAGAATTTGAATATTTTCACTATAAGAAATGATAAATGACAAGATAGATATGCTTAACCTGATTTAAGCATTTACACAATGTAAACACACTGAAACATCACATGGAGCCCCATTATTTTTGTTTTTATTTATTGAACTTAAATTTATAATTTAAAAATTTAACTTGATAGCATGACTATTAATTTTTTAAAAATTTACAGAAAAGGCAGTTTGTAATTCACACAATGATAATGGTTTCCAATTTGTACATTAAAATTCAAATAAGCAAAACAAATTTTTTCTTTCAGATAAGCATAGTAATGCAGAGGCTGATGAACAAATTCCCAAACTGATTTTACACAGAAAATTATTAGAAACATTTAATAGTAATGTACATCAAATCAAGATAGTGACAGTGTGCCAAGAACTTAAAATATCAATAGAAAGTACACAAAGAAAAAGTCCTACAGAGATACTTTAAGAATTTACCATAAAATATTCCAAACACATTCAAAAGAGTCCATTATTAATATGGCTGCATCACATTTGTAACAAATCAAACCTTATGCCAAAAATGTTCTAAAAGCTAGTTTGAAAAAAATCTCCAACATGATGTGTTTTCAACTGTTAGATGTTTTTAATCACAAGCAATAATTAAGAAGATTTACATAACCAATAAAAAGAGCATGTATTAATATAGACCCAGGAAAATTGGTACTATACATATGAGATATTCATATAAAAAATGCAATTTATGTAATTCACAGCAGACATCCATTCTCCATATAAAAGTCTGTATACTAATGAGAACTTAGAACAAAATTTCATCCATATCAATATATTTTGTTCAAACAAAAATCGACTGGGGTGGGTAGCTCAGTGCTAGGGCCTGGGTTTCAAAGGAATAAGGCTGGCCTTGGATCCAATACACAGCACCAAATTTTTAAAGACTTCCATTGCAAATACCTTCTCAAAGGAATTTAGCAATAAATCAATGAAAACCTCACACAGTGATATCTCTAACTGAATCTGCAAGGATGCTATAAATCTCCAACAACATAAAAGTGAAACCATCTCCTCAAAAAGACCACCCAGGGTTTCTCTTTGAATATATTTATTTACTCTTCCATTTTTCCTGAATTCAATAATAGATTCTTGAAGAAGTGAGCTTTTCAATAAAAGGAAACCGTTTTTGGATCTCTAATACTACTTTTGCACTGGGAATATAGCTTAGTGGTACAGCACTTGTCTGGTGTTCACAAGGTTCTGGGTTCCGGGCCCAGAACCACAAAGCAGTCTAATACACCTTCATTTTAAGTATTAAATTTTTACTTTAGTAACAAAGGTTCACTTCTCTTACTTGATCCTCAGTCTTTCCCCTTTTCTACTCTCCTATAAGATCTCTCTCCTCTCAAGGTAAAACCAAGCTGAAGCTTGTAAGGTTTTTATACACTGAATTTTTATTTTTCCTATATTTTTCATCCATTTAATATTAAAATCTTGCTTTGACCCATGACCTTTAATTTTTATGACATCAAAAGTTCTATTCTTCTTTAGGAATGTCAAAAGTTCTATTCTTTAGGATCGAGAAGTGATTTTTCAAACCATTCCATAAGTACTTAAAAAGGTATAATGTAGGCTGGGGCTCAGTGTTAGAGCAATGCCTAGCATACATGAGGCACTGGATTAAAAAAACTAAATAAACAAACTAAAGGTATTGTGTCCATCTACAACTTAAAAAATAAAAAATTTTAAAAAGAGGTATAATATTCTGTGCTCAGGGTACAGAATTCAATAGCCATAGAAGAATATTTACAAATTCTGGCATTCAGGTCCTTTACATCCCCCCCCCACCCGCCCACTTTTTTTTTTTTTTTTGGGGGGGGAGACAGGGTCTCATTAAGTTGCTTAGGGCCTTGCTAAGTAGCTGAAGCTGGCCTTAAGCTTGAGATCCTCCTGCCTCAGCTTACAGAATCATGCGATTATAGGAGTGTGCCACCACGCCCCAGAAGGTTCTCTAACATTTGTATTTTCATTAAGTTTTATAATTCAAAAATCGTGAAGGAAAATTATCCATTCAAAACTAGAGAACCTAATGAAACATAAAATTTAAAACATTAAAGTCTTTTAAGAATGTTATTAAAAATGTTATACATCCCTAACAAATCTCATTCTCTGTCACCTCAAATTAATCTACATTACCTAAAGTTGGTCCTACTATAGTCGTAGTAGCAGTTCTCATCTCCAAATAAATTATTCTTTAGTCTTAAAACACACCTAATTTTTTGTTTTGTTTGCAGTAATTGTGATCAAATCAAGGGCTACATCTAAATTTATATCTATCTAATCTATCATTATCACACTTGTGCTCACATTTAGCAAAAGGAGTCTTAAATATCTTCTGTAAAGGATAATATTTTGTTTTGTGGGCGATATTATATCACAGAAGCAGATGCAGACAATATGCAAACCAATGAGCACAGTAATGCTCCAACTGAAATTTTAATCACAAAAACAGACAGTGAGCCACATTCAAAAAATGCATGGACTGTATTTTTCCAACCCTGGCTTAGAACAAGGAGTAGACAACCAGATTAACATGAAGTGACAACACTGGGCCTCTGAAAATGAGGTTCCTTTTGTTGTAGAATTTATAAAGTACTAATACTAAGACTATTGTCAAGTAAACCTCCATAAACTGATGATGCCCAATCTAAAAGAGTCCGTTAGAACACCACAGTAATCACAGAGAAGTCTTGGCTGCTACCTCCTTGTAGACCATTTTACTAATTCCCTTGTTTATCGTGTCCTGATGCTCAACGTTAATTTTTATTAAGAAGCATAATCTCTTTAGGTCTAGTAAAATTTATACTCTCTATAATTCAAATTTGCAGAATAGCATAGAAAATTCATGACAAACTAATGAGTACTAGAGTGAGCCCATCAAGTAAATCAGAGAGAGAGAGAGAGAGAGAGAGAGAGAGAGAGAGAGAGAGAGAGTGTGTGTGTGTGTGTGTGTGTGTGTGTGTGTGTGTGTGTGTGTGTGTTTTCAGGAGTTTCTGCAACAGCATATGAATGTTCCTAAAAAAAAAATCTCATGTTATTAAAAGAAAACATACATACATACATATATGAATTTATATATATATTATATATACCAGCCCCTAAAACTAATTACAAGGTACAGGGATAGTGATCAAAATTAGACTGGACACAAACACTCAAACCTATGTTATTTTATAGTGAGTCCTACTGAAACATCAGTTTTAATGTAAGACCAAATCTAGGGCTGTGGTAGGGGGGTGACTCCAGTTAGAGCATTTGCCTAGCATGCACAAGGCCTGGGATTAATCCCTAACACCCTCCTCCACCCAAATAAAACAGATTAACAGATTAAACCTCTACTAACATATGCAAGAGTTACTGGTCAATTCATCCTTTGGCATCTTATTTTTTTACATTTTCATTTAAATGTAAAATTTTAAAGACATTTTAAGACAAGTTTCAACAAGATCAAAACTCCTCCTCAAAATGGCTTTGAGATTCCCAAGTTATTTTGGTTTGTTTGTGGTGCTGTGGATCAAAACAGCACCACAAATACCACAAACAAGCACTTGTACCACTGGGTTATATCCCCAGCACTCTCATCATAGTTTTAGCATTATAAAGTACAGTGATTCTGGGAGCCCCTGATCTACCTATCTATGATTTATACTAAATGGTATGTTTAAATCAATTCTGCAAAACTTGCAGGGTTTTGTAAAATCTTCATATATTATCACATCTTCCTCTTTAATTCAAAGGTCTTTCCCCATTTTAGTAAAAATTACCTAAAAACCAAAACTACTTCCACATTATACTGACATCATTTCCCTGTTTAACAAGCATATGAGTGCAAAAGAACAGACTATAGTAACCCTGGGTTATGTGCTTTCAAGATTATCTTAAAGCCAGGCTTAGTGGTACATGCCTGCTAATCCAAGCCACTCAGGAGGCTGAGGCAGGAGAATTTCAAGTTGAAGCCTGGCCTGGGCAATTTAGTGAGTTCCTTTGTTAAAATAAAATGGGTTGGAGGTACAGCTCAGTGGCAGAGAATTTACCTATCATGTGGTGACCGGGAATTCAATTCATAGTATTACCAAAAGGAAAAAAAAAAAAAAATTTTTTTTCGTGAAAGCAAGTCTTGACTTTAAGGCATACAATATTGCCTGTACCCTTATATAGTTTAATCACTTTTACTGCTAGTTAGTAAAATCCTCAGTAGCCAAAAGGATTAAGAAATATCTCTAGGGGTTGTGGCATAGCTCAGTGATAAATGACATGCTTATAGCATGGCTGAGGCCCTGCATTCAATCCTAGCATCCTTTAAAAAAAACAAACAAACAAAAAAAACACAACAATTCTAACCCACAGGAGACAAAGGAGACTTAAAACTTTGTACAAACTGAAGAAAGTAGCTAGTTACAAATAGGTAATTCCTTATTGTAGGTTTAATGTTTAAATTTGATAGGCATGATGGCACATGCCTATAATTCCAGTAATTGGGAAGATGAGATGAGAGGATCACAAATGAGGCTGGCCTGGGTTATATGCTT